CACGGCGGCCTTGAGTGAGCAGAGGCCGGGTTGAGTGAGCGGAGGCCGGGTTGAGTGAGCAGCGGCGGGCGGGCTTGAGTGAGGAACGGCCGGCGGACTTGAGGCCGGCAGGCTTGTGCCAACAACATGTGACGAACCCGGGCTGGACTCCGCTTCGTCCACGGTGAAAGCTGATCCGGCGATCCACAGCGCGAAGTTGATGTATTTCCTCAGCGACCAGCACGGATCAGCTCCAGGCATGACGAAGCAGATATCATCCTCTTTTGGAAGGCCAAACAAAGTAGTTTCGCTTTCACAACGAAACACACAGCGCCTTCACGACATGGCGGCGGAGGCAACAACAATACTACAGCGAGAATAAAAGTTACGCCTTCTTTCTTTGCGTGAACATTTGGGCGGCGTTATGCAAATCTTCCCACATCGTGACGTAGACATGTGGCGGCGTATAAGAACGACCCGTTTTAGGTAGGTGTGGTTGACTCTTAACTTTTATAAAGAATATCTCTTTGGAAAAATCGCATCATATGTCATTAAGTCATCCTGCAGCCCCTTGGACGTTTGCTGAAGAACCACTACTGCAGACATATACTTACACATTTAAATCAGTTAAAAGAGTCTTTAACGTTTGTATTCCTTTTATGGTCTACATTGGCTTGTTTCTTACTGTCCCAAAGCAACAGTTAAAATTTTATATTACTTTAAATTTCCCATGATTTGGAATACTACACTTGCAAAACATTTCTTGACTGACCATATATGACCAAACATGCTATACAGCAAAGCTCTTGAGTGAGCCAAACAATTGCCTAAACAACAAGGGAAATAATGCAAACAATGCTAATATCTAATTGTTTTATGTAATTCTTTGGAAAGCAGCTTCTTAATAGGCTTGCTGCGATAGACTGTGTTTTCGGTTATACCGGTGTTAAGCCGCAACACCGGTTACGTCATTTGCCTACCGCGGCACCGCCCCCCACCGTCGTTTAGATTTTTTTATAGTAACAAAAATCATTTAGCCTAGTTCAGTTTATCACGTGAGGAGAGTGAGTCGAGCTGACTGACAAGAGTGAGGTGAGAAATACAAGACGATGCCAGAAGATTATTTAGAAAAAAAATGCAAAGGCGCCTGTTTGGCAATATTTAACATTTTGAAAAGCCTATTGACTGGATGTTTTTTTAAACATTTGTTTCTTATTTATTTGGTTCCACAGTGTTTGCCGATTACTTTATATAAACTTTGTGTATTTTATTTATTTTATTTTACATCAAGGTGTATATGCCGTGCCTCCAAACTTTCTTATCCGTTTTGCTAATAAATGTTCTCTGTTTCTTGTTATTTTGTTCCACAGTGTTTGCTGATTTTCAGTTTTATATATCTATTTAAACTTTGTGTAGCCTAAGTCATTTGTTATTTTATTAGGCGTTTATAGTGTATTTTTATTAATTTTGTTAATAAAAGTTCTACCAGTTTGACGCTGTTGTTGCTTGAATTGAATCAACGCCAAATTGCCGTTAATTTGAAAGTGAAAGTAAAATGCGCACGGCGCTTTTTCAAGCTATTTGAAAGCCAAGAAATCAGAGGAAAAGAGGGAAAACTCAAACGAACTAACACCCCCCCACCCCAACGGTGATACCGGTATTACCGTGTTGTCACACGTCGATTAACCGGTGGGAAAATTTCCTCACCGTCACAACCATACTTCTTAATCACACAATTTAAAAATGACTTTCCTTCACTAATCATTTTGTGAGGGACAATTATGCATGTTTAATGAGTAGTGTCAAAAAACAAAAAACATGAACTGTTACGATAACCCTCTTAGCCCAAACCCATAAAAATAACTGTCCTCATTTTCTCTTTCATATGCATGTGAAACCAGGTGCTTGTGTGGTCCATAACAGCTAAGTATCTCTGCTGTCTTGACTGCAGCCAAGGACAGCAGATATCAGATCTGAGCAGCCTGGACTGCAGCCAAGAGCAGCATTTTCCACCCCTTTCTCCTCCTAGATCCTCCAAAAGCTCACTAAACGACAATCCGCTGCTTTTATCAAAGTAGGAACTTGTCTCAACCCACTTTGATACAGCTTACCTGGCAGGAATCATTAGTTCAAGGACTGTTATCAGAGTCAGTAGCCTCTGGATGGACTAACAGACATATAGAGCGTGTGTGTGTGTATACACTACCTGGGCAACTGTAGACAGTTTACAGAATCAGGACGTTCCAAAGGCCCGTTATCCTCCATTCCAAAGTAGCTGCAGTTCTTGGCCAAGAACTGCCAGTCCTTCCATTCTGAGCTCCCAGTTGTCTTCCTCTGAATGTGGACTGCTTCAGGCTGAGCATTGAGGAACTGGAGTATCACGTAGAAAACCTGTAAAGGAAGCATGCAAAATTGACAGAGGGTGAAATATGCATGAAATACTAAACAGCAATGGATTATTTATTATCTGCACAGCAACAGTCAATGCTCCGCTGCCTCCTAAAGCACGCCGGCGCTTTGAAGAACAGCTTGAAGTGCCGCTTTACTCTTCCCTTTCTCCCTCTGTGGCTTCATTTTGAGGAGTTTGTCGAGAAACAGGTTGCAGCTTTGACTAAGTGGACACTTCAAAGTCTGTGTGGTGGTGTGTTTTATCTGGTATTGAGAGGAGAGACTGAGGCAGAGCTGCATAAATCCTCTACTTCTTTACAGCTTGACTCTCTGCTCGGCTTGGCTTAGGCACATGGATGACTGGGCAACTCACTCAGACACACACAAAAGACTTTAGGTAGGCTTTAGTGTATTCAAATGGAAAAGATGCTACCCAGTGTCTGGATTTGAGAAAGCAGCCACACACACAGACAATGTCAGGTTGAAGCTTACTTTAAATCAGTTGTTCTCAATCAGGGGGCTCTGCAACCTTTCTGGGGGCCCCCAATAAGTCTTAAAATGTTGTTGTAGTAACATAACTATAACTATAAAAAACTATAATTATAACTATTAAAAAACATTAAAAATAACGATGTACAACATTAAACTGACATTATACTTTTAAGGTTATTCATTTGTACATGCATATAATTTGTTACATATCAGCTTAGATATGAGGGTCTAAATGAGGTTATATTGTCTTGTACAAAGTGGGGCCTTGGAGTCAAAATAGTTCAGAACCACTGCTTTAAACCATATAGTGTCTTGATGCTCCTTAAACTAAACTATTATGAAGCTAAACTAACTATAAAGCCTAATAATAATTTAGGTCTACTAACTTAGGTGAGCCAAGAGCCTGGTCCTGGAACAACATTCCCATAAAGCCACTTATTGGTGGCTATGTACCTGGTACTGTCCATTCTCCAGGTCTATAGTGATGGTTATTCCTTTCTCCAGCAGCTCTAAATTGGGAAAGATGGAGGAGATCCAGGTGGTTCCAATGTCATTGTCGTTGATGTAATGCAGGGGGTGGGCATCCTGGTTCAGACGGAGAACTTTGTTATGGGTGGTATCATTGGCTGCGTTGGGGATGCAGTACCTCTCCACTAGGGGGTGCACTTTGGGGTGGCTGGCAGGGCAGCGGCATGTCGACTGGGTGTGTAGGTGAGGAAATTGTCCAGTGTAAACCTCTTCAATCTCTCTGAAATACAGAAATGCATGGTTTAAAATTGTTCACATCTGCGTTTCTACACTGGTTTTGCTTCAGGACCCAGATTAAATATAGCACATCTCTGTAAAAACTACTTCTGCAGCTACACCTGATGTTAATACCCTGTGACCTAATACTTACCTGTTGGTTAACGTCTTTGGATAAAATCTAAAATCCTGCATCCTTCCAATGAATTGATTTGACCCTGAGGAGAAAAAGAAAGGAAAGTCAATGGGCGCTATTGAAGACGGTCTGCAGGATCCATAGCAACTAGTGGATTACCTTATCTGTGTCTTTATTTGAGTTAAAGAGACACTTGCTGCATGGTGGGATCTATTATGCTTATTTACAGATCTCTGTGAGCATTAATCCCACCGGCTGGATGGGCGGCATAGATCCAAACCTAAACATGCAGATCCATCTACATCACCAGATAAGATTTAATCACTTCTGTTCTAATAACTGAAATCTTTTCATCTTTGTGTGCCAAATCTGTTTTATATACGAGATATCATTGTCATATTTATATAGTGCATTTCATTCATAAAAAAACACACAAATTAATAAGGGATTTGTATGCATATACAGTGGTGTGAAAAAGTGTTGGCCCCCTTCCTGATTTCTTATTTTTTTGCATGTTTGTCACACTTTAATGTTTCAGATCATCAAACAAATTTAAATATTAGTCAAAGATAACACAAGTAAATACAACATGCAGTTTTTAAATGATGGTTTTTATTATTAAGGGAAAACAAATTCCAAAACTACATGGCCCATCAGGAAGGGGGCCAACACTTTTTCACACCACTGTAAGTACGCAAGAAATGCCAAGCCAAAGAAAAATTTAGCATGCATACATAATAATAAAAGCATTTCTTACAGACAACAATGACTCAACAAACCAGAGATTATTGAATATTAAACGACATAATTAAATAGATTTAAACTACCGATTAAAAGTTTGGGGTCTGTAAGTTGTTTTTTTTTTATGTTTTTGAAAGAACTCTCTTATGTTCACTCATTGCATTTATTTGATCAAAAATACCGTAAAACAGTAATATTGTGAAATAAAGCATTATTAAATTTTAAAATAACTTTTTTGTATTTTAAGACATTTTACAATGTAATTTATTTCCGTGATGGCAAAGCTGAATTTTCAGCTGTCATTACTCCAGTCTTCAGTGTTACATGATCCTTCAGAAATCATTCTAAATCATTCTATCATAAAATTCTATTTGGTGCTCAAGTAAAATGTCTTTATTATCAATGTTGTAAACAGTTGTGCTGCTTGATATTTTTATGGAAACCATAATGCATATATGCTAAATATGGCCATCAAATTTAGAAATGCTGAAACTAAAAGATTCATTTCGAAATTTTTATTTTTATGTACAAATTTTCAAATGGCATGATGTTTGTCTGAACCAGCCTTTGACTTTAAATCTTATAAAAAATTCCCTCTATGCTTTGTCCACATGAGTTCTACATGAATCAAACAAGCATTTCAGACCCCTGGGCTCTGGATGTAGAGTTTGAAATGTGTGCAAAATGGATTACACAGACTGCAACTTTCATGTGAAGCTGTTGTGTGTGAGCATGTTTGACAGTAAATGAGGCATGCTCTATTTGAAGACTATATACAGTACAGTGGGTTGCTCCCTTGTACTTCTGTGCCATTTAGGAAATTAGAAACTAGCAGAACTGGTAACCAATCTACTGTGTCCTCTAAGAGATCTGGGCAGAATTATTGTCATTTTTGCAAACAAACACAATAATGTTGAGAATTAAAATGAATGCAGAGTGAACTTAAAGAAACTTTAGCAAGTCTTTGCTATTTGTGAATGTGTATTCAAAACGTACTTATGTGTATGTGTGTGTGTGTGTGTGTGTGTGTGTGTGTGCGTGTATTTCATTCCCTGGGGTTATTACAGAAATCCCATCTCATCTCATTTATGAGGAGATTATTTGTTGCCATATGGTCACCCTTGACCTATATAAACTCCAACTATGATTAGTTGCAAGCTTATGAATATTTCTATAATGGAAAAATGTAACATGTCTGCAAATTAGTGTGTCCTTTTCCGCACTCAATTTGAGTTATAGGAAATTATGTGATTCTGAGGAGAAATACTGTTAGGTGAGGACAGCTGCAGCTTTGAAAAAAATAAGTGGTCAAATAAAATATATAAATGTGCATAATAAAATCTGAAAGAGCAATGTAGGAGTACAGAAATCATTACCGTTAAAACTTGTACCGATCCACAGAGCACCCTCTGAGGTGATGTCATCTACTGGTCCTGCCAAGGTTTGTGTGTCCAAAGCTGTGCCATCATCCTCTTGACCGTTCAGGAACAAGCTCACACTTGTGTCATGTATCTATGGATTCATTCGAAATAGGACAAATGAGTTGCAAAATGCATGATTCAATCAATTGCTATAATATATATAATAAAAACAATATGGCTGCCAACATAAGAGAAATATTAGAGAAATACATTATACCCAATATTTGTGTGTGCCATGTATCATAGCAACATGCTAACACTTAACTCTTCTAGAGTCAGGGGTGTCTCCAAGTGGTGTATTATTTGTGTTGTGAGGAGTATTTCTCTATCGGTAAGGTTCCATGACATTTAGGATGTCATGTAGGCAGCAAGGCAACAGACCTAATATTTACGTTTTTTATGGCTGATGATTGTGGGTACTTTTCTCAGATAACACCCCTTCATCACATTCATATTTGCATGTTCTTTCACAGTCTCCTTTAAAAAAGGTGCATGGAAATAAATCAACTAAAAAATCCATAAGGATGAAGGCAGCGTTAGACTGGAGGATCCTTAAGCTGCTCTCTTTCATGGCCGCTGATTGAAAACTGTAGAGAGGCTATTCTTGAAATCTCTAACCGGCCAATGACATGCTGCTGAGATCTGAAGCAACGTCACAGTGATGTAAATTAATCCTGAAGTGCTTCTTCCCATTTACCAGCCCCACAGACTCTTGAAAGAGCTCTGGTGCTCCTTTTGTTGCTTTCCTAGCTTTTATTTCCTCTCCTCCTTCCATTCTAGTAACTGTTGCTTTGGGATAATATGGGGGTATTTTTTCCAACTGTGTCATCAAGCCTTTTTGTACCATCAAAACTGTTAAAATGAATACAATGAAGTGTTTATGACATGGGATATTTAAGCAATATCACACAAGTAAGAAGGTTGTGATATGGCCCAAACAGCACAAGTGTGATACTGTTTTTACCCAAACATTTAATAAACAAAGTAATATCAAGCAACTTATGTTTCACACAGAAAAGTGAACAGTTAAGAGTTTTTTTTTTCCAGCCAACCAAATGAGCTCCAAACAAAATCAAGCATCAAGCTTAATGTGACACCAAGCAACATAAAGACTGAAGGCAGCAACTGCAATATTTTCAGGTACAATCCAAAGAGGCCTAAAATACCTGGAGAAATTAATCTGTTAGCATTCACATTCATAACCTCATGACAATGCTGATTGGCTGATAGCACCAAAAGAATGAAGTCGAATTCGCTAGTGCCATCCATTAGCTGTGATGTCCAAGCCAGCAAATAGAGAATAGGTTTTTGGTTAAATGCCTAAAATAAGGTCTGTGGTTAACACAAGCTCAATATATTTGTACATTTTATTCAACAACGTAAAATACATCAATAATTCCCCACTTGTGACTTTCAAAGAGTTTATGTGTCTTGAAAAAGGCAGTTGCTAACAAGTGACTAAATGGGACTACAGAGGTTGTCTGGGACATTAAACATCATCATGCGAAACTCATCTACTCACTAGAACACTTTTACAGCCTTTTTGTGTTTATACTCATACTATTTCAAACTATTATTTTTCAAACATTCCAACTTGTAGATTCTAAATAAAGACTGAGAGTGTTGTTGGAAGGTTAGTGGTGGTGATTTTGAAATCGTGCAACTTTAGTTTTATAATTCTAGTATTTAGGCTTCAAAATTCAGAAGTCGTTCTTTTGTGAAGATTGTCTTGATGAACAAAATGTAAGAATCATAAACTTTGGCTGGTCACAGAGCTTATTTGCTGCAATAATCCAAGAGCCAATGGCCACATACAGTACACACTGCAGCACAATAAAGTTGTCACTGCTGAGTTCCTTTTTGAGTTTATCATTGCTTCAGGTTTAACACCTGTGTGTGTGCACTGGTTTGGGTGGTTTATGAGGACACAAATTTGTATAATGACATGGGTATGACACAGGTATTACAATATCAAGGTGGTTTATGAGGACACTACCTGTGTTCCCGTAATTCAAAAGGCTTAAAAAACATACTAAATGGTGATTTTTTTTTAAATCTAAAAATGCACAAAGTTTCCTGTGAGGGGTAGGTTTAGATGTAGGGTTGGTGTAGGGCGATAGAAAATACAGTTTGTACAGTATAAAAACCATTACGCCTATGGAGAGTCCCCGTAAACCACCAACACCAACATGTGTGTATGTGTGTTTTAAGGTGGGGGAAGAAAAGTGTTTTTTTTTTTTTAAGTGTGTGATTTGAACTGCTTGTGTCCTAAGAGCATCACTTGGCCAGCTCATATTGTATTAGAATGCAAGTGTGTTGGTAGTGTGGGACTGGTCTGACCTGTCTGGAATGCTGCCTATGAGATCAAACCAGTGTGGAGCAGATTAATAACTGGCCGTTCTGTGGAGCTCTTAGTTACGTACTAATCAGCAGGTGCTGACATCTTAAAAGCTCCTCTCCGCTTTCAAATTGAAAAGGGAACATTTAATCTGCACAGGGATTTACCAGAATGTGCAACAAATTTATGCCATTATTTATATAACAATGGCTATTAAGCAAAGGTCCAACTAGAAGTAGAAACTCCTGAAACTAACATTTTTTCCCCAAAAGTATTGTGCCTTTACATTAAGTAGCCACATAAATACATATTTTAAAAATGGTGGAAAAAGTATTAAATTAAACATTTTTCAGTTTTAAATCTGTGGGAAATGACAACGCTAAGAGTGTTGTAAGACACCACAACACCCTAAAAGCACTGAGCCAAAGGTGTAACTTAATCACTAGCTGACATTAAGAAATAGTAATACTACCTAACTGCTAAAGGTCTTCTGTCCATCAGCCTTGTAGAGGTGAATATTGAACAAATATTAGCTAGCATTGTTGTTTTTTTACGCGTGGCAACACAAGATCTTTAAAAGGGTCACAAAATGAAAAAGCTAATAATTCTTCATCATTTAAAATAGAGTTTATGAACTGAAAACACAACTAAACATATATTTAAACCGAGTTGCAAAAACAGCTTGTTTTGGAAGGGTTTAGCACTTTAGACCATTTGCACTGAAATCCTGAGAAGGAAACAGATTATTACACTTTACATTAAACTCGACAGCAAACTCGCAGCCTGCACTTTGCCTTCAATGGTCTGAGAGAAAGCAAAAAAATGGTCAGGGAAAAACAAAATTATGGCTGTATTTGTAGAAAGAAACATCTGTGAAAAAAATGAATAAACTAATAAAACATGACCGCTTTAAACTGAAGCAGACCATCTTACTTGAGATTTATGAAATACTTAAAACCCTTTTTGTGTGTTAAAGGAAGACAATGTAGCCTCCAATTCTGTTCTAAGAAAACAACAGTGCACAATCTTTCTAAAATCTAACTGGGGGCTTTTTATATCAGCGATTTCATAATTCACACCAAAAACAATGTTGTGATCTTTGGGCTTGGACCATAAAGCAGGGGCAGGTACAAGCTTAACCTGAAGCCAATTCGTCTGCAGCAGTGTGAGTGACAAACCATTCCATGATAAAGCCCTTTCCATTTCGGCACTGGAGGAGCTGTCAGGGCCTCTAGAAATATTCCACTCTGGATGAGGGTATCAGCGCAAGCAATCCTCCTCTTTTAATGCTGATACCTGCCGGAGCCCTGCCCTTCTATCTGAACACACACTCTCTCCCGACACCTCATACACACTCACACATACATAACCGCCAACACATGAGATGTTTTATTTATGGCTTATAGCTAGGCCTCACTGTGATTCTTATCATTTAAATGAAGCAAAAAGGTTTTCCTATTTGTAATTTGTTACATTATCACATGTTTCATAATGCACTGAGAGACCAGTGTGGTGATGTGAAATATAACTATCACAGGCAGGAAGTTTGCAGTGCTGCTATTGATGCCGGGCCTCTCTTCACTGTCCACCATTACAGTGCGAAGAAAACTGATGAAAAGCCAATTTCCCCTTTATCACATTAACGCAGCCATGAGAGAGAAACATTTGTTCTACTCAAGTACACTAAAGATAAAATTACCAATCTCACATATACATGTTTAATATCAGCCTTCTTCCTCCTGCTGTGAGGATGGCAACAATATATTAAGACTAGCGTGACAGTTTATTTAAGAAAAGAAAATTGTCTCTGTGGAGCTGGAGAAGTCAGAAATATATAAGGCAATGTGTCAGTGCTTTTAATAAAGGAAGGTAATAACTCTTGAGAGGATATGGTTTACACAGAAAGCATATCTTGAGTTTTTTCCCCACTGTTCACTGTGCCCGAACAGAATAGGATTTATTTTTACTAACTAGGTTCTCTTACAATGTAATATTACTATAGTTTCTACAGTTATGGTTATGTGCCAGTAAAGGATGAGCCTCCTCACATAAAGAAAAAGCTTGAAAAAGTTTGCTTATGATGCTGAGGACCCTGTAAAATCCAGGCAGAAGATAAGTAGTTGTACCTTAATGATTAGTGGCATTTTGATTACACATTTCTAACAATAAATAAATATTTACCATATGTTCAAGCAGTGTGCAGTACAAAACAGCGAGTGCAATGAATATAATTGCAACTTTGACATTTTAAACTGAGAAATGAGCAAATATTCATAAACACCAGTGTCTGTGACCATATGGATGTTTTACTGGAAGCTGTTTGTTTTTACAGTATCATTAATGGCCGCTGAGGTAATTGCTGATGCAGGAATACCTAGATTTGTGGTGAATTACAATATTTTTACATCAAGATAATGATTTCAAGTGGACTGTTTCTTGAAAACATTATATTTACATGTTCCTAATTGATCCGGTTGTCATTAAGGATATTAATCAAGCATGCTCTCTCACCAGTAAGCGAGGAAGGTGAATTCAGTCAGTGCAGCTTTAATGCAAGAATGGAAAGAGCAATGTCTACAAGTGATTTTCCTGTTATTTACCTTTTCTCTCATTTGTTTCTGACTTTGAAAATAATGGAAACACAAGGAGAACTAAAGCTATGGCTCATCTATGGATCAAAATGTTTAATTTATCTGGGGAGCCATAGTGAAAAGGTAAGGTTTAAGACAACCCACCAGCAATAAATAATGTAT